TCATGGTGGTTTTTCCACCATTTTCCATCTCTCGTATATGAATTAATGGGAGAGGCCACAAGTTTTGTATCACCTCAATGAGTTCCTCAAGTAATCTTTTTATTTGGTTGATAGTATACTTACAATGGTGACCATGGTGAAAGTGAGTGTTAGAGGGAGAAAGAGCTAGAGAGAGAAAGTGAGACTCAAGAAGAAATACATTCGAAAGGGGGAAGGGTAGAGAAGAGGAGTGGGGTTAGTGGTTAAAGGAGTGAACCAGGTCGGCTGGCTGGGCCTCGACCCTTAACCACCAGAGCGTTGTAAATATTAGGCATCTTGTCCGGGGGAAAGGCTACATCCAGTACCGGACCAATGATTTGAGCGATACGTCCCAGGTTTTTTTTTTTTCAAGCGTGGAAACCCCAGGACCAGAAGCAGTAGGATTTATTCTCATAATATAATAATTATGTCAAATTTGTTGCAAAATTTTTTGAATACAAAAGAATCTTCGATAGCAAGTTGATCGGTTATGGATAATAAATCCTCTGATCTGGTGTGTGTAGGACGGATGATGGAGGTCATGAGCATCAGTGAGAACGAAAGAGGTTTTCAGGTGAAGATCTCACTAGCGGAAGAGGAGGTGGAATGGCTGATGGATGTGCTCGCCGACCTCTATTGGAGGTAGGGAGGAAAGACATGGGAGATGCACACGATCAGTAAAAGCCACAGTCTATGGGTGGCTCTAGGTTACAACCAACGAGGATGGTACTTAGTAGTGACTAAGGAGAAAAGAAGCACAGTGTAGAAAATTTTTATCCCTGAGAGCCAGAAGCCGGTGAATAATAAAGTCTCATAAAATTCGTGTATGAGCTTGTGGAACAGCTGTTGGTAAACACAGAGCAAACCAAGGGTGGCTGCAGCAGTGGAAGAGGAGGAAGGCGGGAATCAAAAGGTGGAGATGCGAAGGAAGGAGCTTGTGAAGTGTCCCCATTGTCAAACAAAACTCTGTATCACGGTACAAGTGGAAGATGGAAGCACGTTTATGGATGTGGTTCAACGGGGATGGGAGAGGGCAACGCAGGTTGAGACAACGCGATCAAGATTCAACTCGGAGTGGGTCAAGTTCAAAATTCAAAATGGGCGCAAGTGAGACGAAGACACCCAAATCTAAACGTAGAGGCTGGGTGTCGTTTTGGCATGAGTAGGTATGGGCTCAATACTCGCAGGGCAAGTGAGCCTGGACATAACAGATTAAAGGTAGTCTGCAGATCCATATTATTGGAGAAAGGAAGTGGGTTGATATACCGGGTTCGAGCAAGGAGCCAAGAGTGAGGAGGGTATGGGGACTTGTGATCTAAAGCTCGATCCCGAAAATTGACCCGGCAGAGAAAGAAAATGAAAAAAAAAAGGAAAAAGAAAAAAGGAAGAAGGAGGCCACAGGCTTCCGATGGGGACAGAGAGAGTGATCTATGATGCGAGGGAATCCGATGATTTGGGGGGTTTGAGCTCTAACGTAGATGGTGGCTGGATTTTGAGGGAGGAGATGTGGGCTTCCATCACTCTGATAACTGAGATGAAGCCGAAAAGCGGAAACAAAGACATGGTGCTAGGCAGGGAGCTCTGGGTTGATGACAACAAGTTAGGTAGTGGAAGGTAACTTGCTCCAGTAGTGGTAGAGTAAAAGAATGAAAATGGGGATGTCAGAAGTGGATGGAGGTCATAATGCTGGAAATATGGGGGAGGAATACAAAGGTGGAGATAGGGAGATCAACGGCTCTCTTTCAGTGATGCAAAATATCCAATGAATTAGTAAAATGGTGGAGTTATTGTTGAAGGGTAGAACATAAAATGATAGAGATTTTTGTTAAAATTAAGAGGAGAATGGAGAAGAGGAAAGTCGGATAGCGAATGGAAGAGAAAAGAGGAGAACAGGAAAGGAGAGATTTAAGGAGCTAAAAAGGTTGTAGTCCTCAATCAATTATGACTGCAAGAGGAAGTGTGGTATGAGTGAGAGGAAATGTGAAAATAGACAAAGATTGGTAAAACAATCTCATGAAATGTTCGAAAGTTCAATGATAAGAAAAAAAGAATAGTGTTGAAGGGTTGCATGAGTAGATGGAAACCAGATATGTATTGCGTTCAGGAAAACAAAACGGAGTTGATTAAGGGGAGTAATGTAAAAAACCTATAGAAGATGAAAAAGATTGAGTGGCACCTTTTACCGACAAAGGGTGTTGCGAATGGTACTGTGGTGGTTTGGAGGGAGGATCGTATCATTAGTAAGGAGGTGATCAAGAAAGAATTCACTATCTCATGTTTGTTTAAAAATTACAATAGCGGACTAGTGTGGGCGTTCATTGGTGTCTATTATAAGGGCTCAAGGGAGGAGCGGAGTGGTTTGTGGATGGAACTGGAGGAGTGTAAAAATAAATGGGCCGGAAAATGGGTTATCGGAGGGGATTTTAAAAAGGTGTTGAACATAGAGCGAGATCGCGTGAGCAATTTGATGTGAGCCTAGAATGCATGGAATATTCTTGGGACCATTCAATCCATCCAAGTCAGGGCATGGCCTATTCAAGTGAGCAAGCAAGTGGCCAAGGAATCAGAAGGACCAAACAAGCAGCCAAGGCCATACAACACTTGATCCTTGCGATTTGGGGCATAAACCGCCCACACATAAGTCCAACAAGATAAACAAGGCTTAGACATGAGGAATGGACTTGGGTCACTTGGGAAGAGTATAATGATCCCTTGTGAGCCACTCACAAGAGTAAGATCCCAAAAACTCAAGCAAGCTTTCCAATTGTTTGTCCAAGAGTTGATCAATGAAGATGAGAACTTTGGCCCAATGGAAGAAGCCCACAAGAGAATAAAGGCAATCCTATTCGGCCAAGGAAGGCCTTGGCCGTGCGTCCTCCTATAAGCTAGGATACATGGGCAAGAAATATGCTTGGAGGAGAATCCTTCGTGAGAGGGAAATTCTTATCACTCAAGTTAAAATTATAGTAACCATTATTCAAGTGCTAAAGACAATCCAAAAATTACTGATATCTCACTTGCAGCTATTGGATGTGCTGCAACTTCTCCCTTCAATCCAGCAGTTTCCCAAGCCCATGTCATCAACTCTGGGCCGACAAGCACTTGACGAGAACCTCTGGATCCTGTTGATGGTACTCATGCTTGGCAACTTATCAAGACCTAGAGGTTCCTCCAGGCTGGACATGGTGGTGAGAAAACTGAAATAGAAACATGATTAGTGTCCATCAATATGTCTTGCTAGAGTAAAATCAATAACGAACGACAAGAGAATTGATCATCTCATCAGGAGAAATCTCACTTTGTCAACTTAAATTACCAATTACTAATTTCTAGAAGGAAATTACAAAATCCAAAATCTCATAACAATGCATCACATTACGTGACATATGATTGTTTAAGCAAACTCCAACAGATTTTAGCATGTGCACAACTGAAGTTAATTTCACCATAACCAATCATTTCTTTTCTTCTTCACCAGAAATTTTAAAATTCTATGTCCAGTGATGGAAATAATTAAAATCAAAACATGTAGAGAGCAATTTAAACCATGTGACAAGAGATGTATAATCACTAATAGATAAAACAATGCCAAGACAACCAAATCCATGGAACATTCCAAGAAAAAAACAACAATTCTTATGTGCCAGCAGCCAATCTTGGAGAATGAATAGCAATGGAGTACGGTAAGACTTTGCTAAAAAAATTAGAGGAAATTATGAAACAAGTTTCATCTACAGAGATCTCTCAGGCCTAATATAGAATAAATTGGATATAGATACAGACATCTTTTCAAAGCTTTAGACAATGTGAAACCAAAAAGATTTCGGCAATGTCAAATCTTTAAAACAAAAGTAGCAGTATCACCAAGAACCACTATTAGAGCACTTCTTTAAGAAATTGCAAAAAACTTAGAATGCTGTGCAGTTCATAGAACGGTAATCTTGATGAACTTCAGCTCACCAGTTTTGTGATATGCACAAAATTGATGAAGACATATGACAGTCTCGTAAGTAATTTGTTGATATCCTGGATTTTTTTCAATTACATTTTTTATTGACACATAGTATTTTAAAGAAGAAGGAATTTGTACAAAGCAGGAGGATTAGATAACCTCCAGTAACTATTGGGTAAAAAACATA